TGCTCACAAAGTAAACACGGGTTAACATTTTAATTTCTAATCTGGTTTGTCTTTGTTATACGGGCAGTAAACAACAGGAACACGCCTCATTTGATCCGACAGGCAGATGAAGCAAATGCTGAATGAGAGATGTTTGTGTTGAGGTGCGGAGGCCGGCCCGGAAGTGACGATTATAACTTCTGCTCTCTAATGAACAAACAAATTTAAACCATCTGTGACAATTAATTTAATTATCAACTAATCTGACGACATTTTTGCTTAAATAGTTGTTGATTCATTTTCTTTCGGTTGATTTACCAATTTTGAACTGTGAAACATTGAGACTCAGACGCAAAGGCAGTTTAACAGAGAGAGTGGGACAAAACTGACCTTCAGAAAGTGTTTATGTCATTATTTACATTTCATTTAGCTGATGCTTTTAGCCAAAGCGCCTCAGGAGCAACTAGGGGTTAAGTGTCTTGCTCAGGGCCACATTGGTGGATGAGTCACAGCGGTAATTGAACCCAGATCTCCCACAGCAAAGGCAAACATCTTATGCACTCGCCATCCCTATTTATGGTGAAATGTGATGACAGGGAGCCACGACGGTAAAATATTGGATCTAAAAAGGTGTTTCGTTTCTCTACTTGCAGAATCCTGCGTTTATCCTTGCTTGCAACCTCGTCCACGTTATTCCCACAGCTCTCTGTTTCCTGTCGCAGCATCATCAGTTCTTTCACACACTGGCAAACAACTTTACCTGCCAAGAAACATGTGAAAAGCTGTTTGCGTCTGGAGTGTTTTTGCCAGTGTGTGTTGTATCTCTGTATTTGATGCAATGCTGACAGATTTATTTGTTTTTCTCTCCTTATAAAATGTTTAACTTTTGTGTTTTTGGCTGTTTTTTTTCTAAAGTTAATTGGTATATTAGACAAAATGTAAGTCTTATATATTTTCAGACCACGTACTACATTCCCTAAATGTCTATATTTAAGACTTCGTTGTGCAAACCATCTCTTTTACGTTTAAACTTTCTGTTCTTTCTTTTCTCAGGGATGGTGGGAATGTAGAGAAAGTGTCTGGAGATGTATTTCTTCTATTGGCACAATACTCAGTTGAGAAGTGAGGATTGTGTACTTCTTTATACTCACATTAATAGGATGCATCAGCTGTGTAAAGTAGGCCACACAGGTGCACAGGACCAGGTCTGTGTTAGAGTTAGAGGTTGTTTGTTTTGTTTGTTTTGTTTTTAAAATATTTACCACATCACTTGATTGTGTGTTGACACTTCACCAGCTGTGTGTGACTCAGAGAGAGAGAGACTTCATTTTACCTGGTGAAGAAATCAGCGATGCCGAACCTCTTTGGCAGCAGCTTGTGGTCCGAGCCCCCCGTTTGTTCCGCCAGGTCTGGCAGCTTGTCCGGGGCGCTCTGCCTGCGACCCGCTTCCAAAACGTTCCGGAAGTCCTCCCCGTAGCCCTCCTCCCCGAAATAAAAGCCCCCTTCGTCGTCGGGGGACAACGGGGTGGCATCACAGCTGAGGGACACGGCGAGGTTGAGGTTAGTCCTCAAACTCTGCGGCCTGACGGGTAAACTGAGGTCACTGAAGTCCTCCTCTTCCTCCTCCGTCCTGATGGGGGGCTCAGAGAGGGGCCTCTCGCTGTTCAGGTTGGAGGGGAGTTTGGCACTTGATCCCAGGGCGGGGGAGTCCTTGGACAGGAAGTGAGGGAGCTCTGCCGCAGCAGGCGCATCCTCCCCCGGGCACTGAGAGCCCAACGTCCCGCTGTGGTCGCAAAATCCGGACCGGACCCCCTTTTCCTGCCTTGCCCCCAGGTCGAAATGAACGTCGGTATTGTTTTCAGAGTCGGGCCGGTCACATGTTGCTGTGGCGGTTTTCACGAGATGTAAACCACCGTTGGCTATTTTCACTTCCTCACAGTCCACGTCGTCGCATAAACAGAGTCTCTGGTCCGGACTGGAAAACACCCCGGTGTGTTTACAGCGAGCGATGTCCGCTCCGGGACCGGGACCGCCGAGATCCCCGTTGGGCATGTTTACATCCGGACACGGGAGGCAGGCCGCTGCGTTGCAAGTGCAGCTCCACTGGTGCTTCCCGGTGCACAGAAGCCGGTCCAAGGGGAGAGAAGTGCCGGGGACTGCGCCGCCAGAATCCGGGGTTTCCCCCTCGCTCTCCCCCCGCCGGGTGCTCCCGCATCTCTCGGCCTGTCTCCGCGGAAAACAGACCCGCAAGCACAGCTGGACAGGAAGCGGCTGTGGTCCCCGTGAGGCCGACCTCCCCTCCTCCTCCTCCTCCTCCTCCTCCTTCCATTGTCGGCTCCTCCTGACCGAGTGACTCAGTAAATCCGTTCAGGTCGCCGCAAACCTCCGGAATCACACAGCTGTCAGTCAGCCGGCCGGGGAGGCACTCCTCCGCCGCGGTGACCAGATCCAGCATTATCTCCTTCTCGAGTCCCGGGGGCGTCTGTGTTTACATTCCTCCCGTTACCGGCCACATAGACGTGACCCTTCCCAGCTCCCTGACCCACGTAATCCTTGTTACCCGCTTTCCCTCCTCCTCCTTCTTCGTTCTCGTTAAAGTCGACGGCGAACGACCCTCCGTTCTCCTTCGTCGCTGCCATGACCTCTCAGTCCGCCCGACGAGCCTCGGCCCCGGGCGTAAAATCTCGCAACGGCTCCTCCTCCTGCCCTGTCGGCCGAGCTCCGCAGCAGCAGCAGCAGCAGCAGCAGCAGGTTTTGTTGTTCTTGGAGGAAAGAGCTACCATTTTAGCCAGGGCTACTTCACACACAACGTTACCTGCTGACACCCGCCGGATGTAACATCTTTATATTCCGGCGTCTAACACAACGATATTTTCCTCTCCGTCCTGCGAAGTTAACGCCGCCGCCGCCGGAGCAGAAGATTAAATAAATCCCTCAACGGTGAGCTGCGGCATTCCGGCCACAGTCCGGCGCCATCTTGAAAATACCCCAACAATGACGTCATGCCCTCCCGCCCCCAGCCACAATCACTCGCTGTGTTTTGATTCGCTGAGGGGTTTACAGTGACGCCTACAGGCCGCTCCGTGTAACTGCAGCGAGCCGAAAGTAAACAAAGCGAAGGATTCACAACTTTAATCCGCATGTTTGTTGTTATTTTATTCAAGTGGTGGGGACATAAAGGCTGTGACGATGCACAATGTTGGGGTCGCGAAAACAACATATATTAACACTATTTTAAATAAAAAAAAGAAGATTTTGACCATTAAACACTTAATACATAGATTTATTTATGGCGGTATTTTCTTTATCTATATTAAGTGAAACAAAAAGTCCAGGTGACAATTCAAAATTTAATGGAATATAATTCAGTAATCATTTGCTTATTTTAGCTTAAGTTACTTTTTATCCTGTATTTAAATGGCATTGCATGTTTTCTGATTGTGAAAATAAACATTTCTCAGAGCATTTTCAATTGTTATTAAACATCTCTTGTTGCAAGCTGTTTTTCAGAACATTTTTCATGCTTTCAAAAAGTGGTGGGGACAAAACCAGCCATTAAAAAAGTGATTGGGACAGTGAAATGACAGCTATGTTTATTCTTATTTATTGTTGTTTATTCACCTTGTGGGTGGGGCCAATGGTTAAAACAATGGGAGAAGACTAATATTTTGTAGTTGAATCCCTCATTGTAGAGTAAATAAGAATATATCACTGTGTTGCCAAAAAAGTTCAAGACTATTGTTGTTTCCCTTTAATACAATGCATTCAAAACTACTTTCTGCACATTTCTACTACATTCTTAGGCCTACAAGTGCTATCTCGCGTTAAAAAGTAATGTTTACACATATGTTTACACATATGCAGTACCTTTAGCAATAAAAATAATCACAATAAAACTTTACTTTAGTAAAGAAAAACAATTTGGACGTGAGGTGCCCACTGATTTAATGCAGCCTTTCTGTGGTGATGAATGACAAGTTGTTTCTTCATGCAAAATAGATTTAGGGTCATTTTTGACAAAGACAGAATGTTAAGACTAGACAAGAGTTGAGCAAATGTTGCAACATTAGGCTAAAATTAAAAAAATACTCCATTACAAGTAACAAATAAATCATTTAAATTATTTAATTGCCTAAATTAACTAAAGTACAATGAGAAAAATGCACTCATGGTATCAAAAGTAAGGACTCAAGCAGAAAAAAATGGCTTTTGTGACTGATAGTCTACAGAGGTGTCGCACAAAAAGCAGGGCCCTGTACATTAGCAGCCTCTATGGGCCCCTTCCCGCATCCACAGATATTCGTTCTAGTACTTTTTGGGCCCTCCACACATGAGGGCCCTGAATCCTCAGTCCGTTTTTCCACCCAGTCCTACGCTCCAGATAGCCTCTATAATATTATTGGACATTTATTTTCAAGTACTGTACTTAAGTACGAATTAGAGGTATTTGTTCTTTTCTTTTCATGTCACTTTGTCTAAATCTCAGAGGGTCATTGTACTTTTTACTACATTTATCTGACAGCTTCAGTAACTTTACAAAGTCAGATTTTACACACAAAACAGACAAAGAGTTTTTAAAATATGATGTTTTGTTATAAATTAAACAAGTACAGCTAGAACATTGGCTGACTGACTGATTTTGATGATTGTTTTTAAATTCTGTTTGTCATCTCAGCAACTCCTGACAAACAGAACCATAATAGAACTTTTTACTTTTATATATATATATATATATATATATACTAAAGCATTTTTAAAAGCAGGTACTTTTTTACTTATTAATTTAAATTGAAGACTTTCAGTAGAGTAATATTTAGCTAATAAAGATATCTTTACTTTTACTCAAGAACAGGATTTGTGTACTTATATTATCATACTTTATACAGAACCACTGTTGGTTATCAATCAATTAATCAACCTTTATTTGTAAAGCGCTTTTCAGACAGGTTAGTGCAAGTGCTTGACAGACAATCTGATAACAACACCATACATTTAAAAAAGTTAGTTTACAATGCATCATATTTGGAGCCTTATTATTTATTCTTAAAATGTAAAACATCCTGCAAAGTAAACGTAACCTAAGTTACAATTTATGCTTTTAAAATGTCTAAAGTTGGATTTAAGTGGAAGCAAAGTTAGACAGTTGTATCTACTGAGTAACTTTCCACCACCAAGTAGTTCTTTATTTCATTATTAATCTATTGTTTAGACTGTTTGCTAAGACTTTTGTGTATTACCGGCTGTGTTGCGCTGCTGTCTTCATCAGAGAACTGCTGCATAGTTAACAATAAATGATAAACACTTGTCAGTAGTAAGAAGAATAGAAGTAAAATATAACATGATTCAGTAAGAATGTACATGCAATGCAAAATGATTGCAATTAGAAAATCTCTTATTGTTTTGAATATCTATCTGTAAAAACATCTCAAAAAGTCTTTTTTACACTTCACAGCTAGATTGTTTTAAGTCAAAGCTCCACAGGAAGACTGATCCACATTTGAGTTTGTCTGAAGACTGACCTTCACCAGAGAGATGGTTAAAATGATGTGACACAGTCTGAAGTGGCTGCAGGGCTGACGTGCTTTAATCTCTATCAGGACATGGAGGTGATCGTCCACCTCGAGCTGCGTTATCGTCACCTTTTCCACGCTGACATGGACACATCAGCTTCCTGACGGTCTCTCGGTTTAGATACCCAAAGTGTACGACAACAGTCCCAAAGAGGGCAAAGATTGTCAAGGATCTTATCACAGTCCCTAAAACCTTAGTCCAGAGTTCAAAGTCTGGAAGATTTCTTTGGAAGAACAGATTATTTTTGGGTTCACTTTCTTTCTCACTGACCGGGTTCTTTATCTTGCAGGAAAATGTTTCAACATCTGTCTGAGTCTTGTTGATTTTCATATCCTGTCCCGACTCCTTCCAGTCTCCGGCTCCCTCCTTCCAGCTGTAGGTCACAGGTTCAGCCCCTCCAGTGTCTCCATCACAGGACAGCGTGCACGCTTCTGAATCCCCATTACAGGACACTGGTCGCAACACCACCTCAGGCTTGGGCACTTCTTTGATCACTTTAACATCATAGCTCGGACTCTGGGCATGGCTGTTGATTTCCACTAAGTACAGCCCCGCGTCAGCTTCTCCCATGTTCTTGATTTCCAATCGTCCAGTGGTTGTGTTCAGGGTTGTGCGGTCTTTAAACGTACTGTAGTATGTCAGATGAATTGCTCCCTCCACCCACTCTGCCAGCAGATTGTTGTTGTGTTTCCACAGGATGTTGGTTATGGCTGCTGATGGTTGAGGCCTCAGCTCCAGGTTACCACCAACAGCGATGTATTTATCTTCGGCTAAAACAGAGACCAGCAGGGTCGCCAGCAGCGCTGCCAGGAGCCAAACACCCGTCTGTGTCTCCATGTTCTCAGATCAATAAAAGATTGAACGAATATCTGCTTTCATATCATCAACAGCCTCACAGGTCGCTATTTTGGTCTTCTGAGGTGACTTTGGTTTCCGCATCACATGGTTTCCTTCCTTAAGTGGTCTTCAGTGACTCTAGACAAATGAGTTGGTCTTCAACATTTGTACACTTTATACCACTAAACATGTTCTGCATTCAGCTGAGAGAAATACATAAAACGTCTGTTGGGGATCGGCCTGCTTCTCATTGGGCCACACGAGCAACACCTTTCATTTACAAGTGGTCACTTAAAACAATAATAACAGTATAGAACTTTTCACTACAGGTAACAAAGTGCTTTCAATGCAAAATGTAGACACACACAGTGGTGTAAGACGAATTAAACATAAGTCCATGTTCAATTAAAGCACAATAAACAGCTGCACATCGCATTGTTTGAATTATATAAATAAAACATAAACCAGTCAACATACTAATATGGAAGAATAAATTATGCATGATACACTGAAAGCTATTTTGCATAAATGTGAAGTGAAATCAAAGGAGGACCAGACTCTGATCTCTGGTGGACTGTTCCAGACTCTAGGGGCCCTGAAGACAAAGACTTTACACTTGATCCATTATTAAAATTAAATCATTGACTGTAGCAGCTTTTCCTGCTAATTGTGTTTAAACTGTTGTAATATATTGTATGATAATATCATATTTTAATGGATTTATTTAACACTTGAAATAGAGCTACTCCAAAGTCACATGTCTACATAACTATAGGACCTACAGCACTAGGCTGATAACATGATGGTGGGCCCCAGGGCTGGACTGGTAATCTGACGTACCGTGGCCCCTGCCAGGCAGAGGAAGAGGCGTGAGACAGCAGAGTGACAGCGCTGAGGGAGAGAGAGCAGGAGGAGACTGGAGGTGAAGCGGTAAGCATGGAGTACATGCAGAGAGGGAGGAGGGTCATTTACACTGGGGACATGTAGCCACCACATTTTGAAAGCATTTGTTAAAAATGTTCTGAAAAATATCACCACGAAATGTTAATTAACAAATAAAAATGCTATGAGAAAGGTTTATTTGCACATCCAGCCTGCATGTAAATATAGAAGAAAACTGTGTGTTGTCCAGAAAAAGTTACTTCAGATAAAAACAATAATAAGCTACTGATTACTGCATTATATTCTATTATATTTTTATATTGTAAATTATCACTGGACACCTAAATTTTGTTCTTCCCTTTATAAAAATAAAGACATTTCCACCTTAAATTGGTGCAGAAAATGTCTCCAGAATGCAGGAAATTAAGTTTTTAATGCTCAAAATCTTCTGGGGGAGGAGCCTCAGACACCCCTGTTGAATATTTCATCAATAATTTTTTTTCTAAATGGTTGGCCTTTTAAAGGATATTCTTGTCTTGTTCTCATGGCCCCAGTCTTGTGCAATGTCAAGTGTGATGGGCTAAGTGTTGACCCCCTAAATGGAAGGATGGTGTAATGGAAAAATAATGGTAGAAACATAAAGTAATTATTAACTTTAACATTTTTTATTAATATCTCAATTTAATTGGGTTTACCACCGCTTCTCTCATGTTGTTGGTTTCCACAGCTAAACTGTATTAACTTCATCAGTGTTAAATAGGAACAAAAGTCAAAACAAAACATTTAATAATTGATTAAGCTGCCAGACTTTGTGTAGGGTGCAGTCTGTGCTGAGAAATATATTTTGGGTTTACCACAGTACCTTGATCAGATCAAAATGTGAGAACAAGTCATTTACTGACAAGTTGTCATGGTTTGTTTTTTTTTATCCTACATGTTGTGTTTTCTCTGTTTTTGCATGTTTAGATATTACCTGATCTGTCTCATTCCTTCTATTCTTTTCTTAGTTCTTAGTCCAGTATTTTAATCCACATCTTAGTGTGTTGGCTCATCCTGGTTCTGTGTCTCAGTTTTTGGTCCTGTGTCCTAGTTAATGTCTTAGGGTCTTAATGTCTTAACACCCCGAGTAAAGAGTACTAAATTGCGTGTGCATTCTAAAATATTGCACGTGTAATTGTAGTACCCGTTATGGGTGATTAACTGTGAATAATTGTGTAAATGACAACAGGGGCAAACACAATGGAGGTGGCAGTTCAGCAGGGCCAACAGCAGCGCTGCCAGGAGCCAAAGACCCGTCTGTGTCTCCATGTCCTCCGATCAATACAGTTGAGTTGACTTTGGTTTCCGCATCACATTGTTTCCTTCCTTTAGTGTTCTTCAGTGAGTCCCTCAAGATAAAATGTCTGATGCAAGTTTAACTGTTTGTTCACTTTATAGCACTAAACATGTTCTGCATTCAGCTGAGTGAGCTAAATAAAACCTCTGCTTGGGGGTAATTCTCTGTGGGTACGCTAAACGAGCAACACCTTTCACATCCAGGTGGTGACTTGATCCATTATTAATATAAAACCATTGACTGTAGCAGCTTTTTCTGCAAACTGTGTTTAAAGTGTTGTGTAATATCGCATGATAATATAATAATAAATGTATTTAACAGTTAAAGGAGACCTATTATGCTTTTCCACATTTTATGACTTATCTATAATGTTACAGTGTTGGATGTTCATGTTAAACATGGCCAAAGCTTCAAAAAATGCTACAGCTTGTTTCAGACAGAGGCTGAAATGAAGGCCTACATGAAGAGCCAGTATAAAACAGAATATTATTTTTTTTGAAGTCTGAATCATGCATAAGGTGCCATACAGGCATCACAGAACTAAAATATAGGACTGGAAAAGCAGGAGAATAGGTCTCCTTTAAAATAGAACTAGGCTACTCTAAGCTCATGTGTCTACATACTATCTAGAGTAGCCGACATAGTAATAATATGTTTACATGGTAATGGTAAAAACATAAAGTAATAATTCAATAATATCTTATTTTACTAATTGATTTAGCTGCAGAAGTACTTGAGTCTGAACTTTGTGTAGGATGTACGCACTATTGAGAAATACATTTTTAGTTTACCACAGTATCTCGATCAGATCAAACCAGGAGAACAAGTCATTTACTGACACTTTCTGCAGTTACAAAAGTACATAAGTATTAGCATCAAAATAGAAGCATACTTTAAGTCTGGTACTAAAAGTACTCCTTGTGCAGATGGAGATATTTGTTGATTAAATAAATGTCTTGTAGTAAAAAGGACAATATTTCCCCTCTGACACGTGGTGGAGCAGACTCATAAAGTAACAAAAAATGGTAAAAGTCAAATACAAGTACCTCAAAATTGCACTTATATATAAGTACTTTTGTAACTATCATACAAGTTAGTTTATATGTTGTTTTATTTTTATTCTATTTGTATTTATGTTCTGTGTGTGAAGCGTGAACAACAACTTTAATGTCACTGTGCAGCTCTGTGTTGTAGGAGGACAAATTAATGTACCTTAACGTACAGTACTGGAGTAAATGTACTTTTATTAAGTGACAAGAAGAGCACATTTTTCCATCACAGACACAAACGCTTTGCTTTTGGTCATAATTATGTTAGAGACAGCAGAAACACATGTATCAGTTAAAAACATAGTTTCAATGAAAACAAACAGGGAGTCTAGTTCATCAAACCAACAGCCAACGTGTCACATTCACTAGATAAGACGAGCTGTGCTTCACAGATAACTAACTGCTGGTGAAAGAATCAGTGTTAACACGGACTAAAATAACAGTAAAAACACAGAGCAGGAGCATTTGTGTTTGTCTGAAGACTGAACTTCACCTGGGAGATGGTTATATGTGACACAGTCTGAAGTGGCTGCAGGGCTGACGTGCTTTAATCTCTATCAGGAAGTGGAGGTGCGTTATCGTCACCTTTTCCACGTTGACATGGACAGATCAGCTTCCTGACGGTCTCTCGGTTCAGATAACAGAAGAACACAACAGTCACAAAGAGTGCCACGATTGCCAAGGATCTCATCACAGCCCCTAAAACTTTAGTCCAGAGGCAGTCTGGAAGTTTTCTTTGGAAGAACGGGTTGGGTTCAGGTTCACTTTCTTTCTCACTGACCGGGTTCTTCATCTTGCAGGAGAAGGTTTTAACACCTGTGTTAGTCTTGGTGATTTTCATGTCCTTTCCCGACTCCTTCCAGTCTCCGTCTCCCTCCTTCCAGCTGTAGGTCACAGGTTCAGCCCCTCCAGTGTCTCCATCACAGGACAGCGTGCACGCTTCTGAATCAGCGGCACATGTCAGTAATCGCATCCATACCTCAGGCTTGGGCACATCTTTGATCATTTTAACATCATAGCTCGGACTCTGAACTTGGCTGTTGATTTCCACTGTGTACAGCCCCGCGTCAGATTCTACCATGTTGTTGATTTCCAGACCTCCAGCGTTTATGTCCAGTGTTGTTCGGCTTTTAAACGACCCGTAATGTGTCAGCTCAACCGCTCCCTGTGCCCACTCTGCTACCAGATTACCGTTGTGTTTCCACAGGATGTTGGTTATGGCTACTGCTGATGGTGGTTTAGGCCTCAGCTCCAGTTTACCACCAACAGCAACGTATTTATCTTCTGCTAAAGAAACGTTCAGCAGCGCTGCCAGGAGCCAAACACCCGTCTGTGTCTCCATGTCCTCAGATCAATGCAGGACTGAAAGAAAAACACTAAGTAGACCCTGTAAGTGTTTCAGAGAGTGAAATGAGAAGTATTAGCTGTTCCTAAGTCACCACAGGACGACCTCTTCACAGTTCCTTTAATGTCCTTCCCATTTTCTGTGGTTCATTTAGTTTCTGTATTTGTAAAAGCATGAAGCTGGTCCTCCTTCAACGTTCAACGTTTTATCCCTTGATGTAGTTAAACTAAACTATTTGAACCAGCTGTCTGAACGGAAATACGGCAGCACACAATATCTCCCGCCAATCTCACAGGTAGGTTTTGAGCTTCATAAGAGCTTCTGTTGAACTCTGAAAACTAGATTTTTAGTGAACAGCTTCACAAACATACACACGTTTGTTCCTCTTTCTTCATGGGGCATCTAATTGACATAATTCAATACAGAGCCTCTTACTCTAACCTAACCTTTAACCTAACCGTAACCTGAACCCTAAAACCAAGTCTCAACCTTTAAAAAGTGTCTCTACCTGTAGGGACCTCAGTTTTTGCCCCCACTGCGACACGAGTCCCCAAAAGTGTTAGAAGTAAGAAAATTGGTATATTATAAGTATTAACATAACTATTATATGAACGTGTGTGTGAAACGTGAAGGGGGACGACAGCCTTAATGTCACTGTGCAGCTCTGTGCTGTAGAAGGACAAATAAATGTACGTATACAGTATTTGAGAACTTTTCACCAGTTGTGCTGGTAGATAGAAACTAACTGCTGGTGAAAGAATCAGCTAAAACATGGTTACAATAAAAAATACAGAGCATGAAAAACAGCCCATAGTTAAGCTGATTGAACCTTTTTTATTTGTTGGTTTGAGGACAGAATTTTACCTGTGAGATGTTCATACACTGTGATACAGCTTTAGGTCGTCACTAAAACATATCCAGTTCCTCAAAAGAGTGTTAAGTTCATTCGATTTACATCCAACAAACTATTGGCTGAGGCAGAATAAAAACATGCATACATATATCACATATTGCTCTCATGCTTCAGGTCCTCTGATTTATTTTAGTGCCAGCGATCCAGTTCATTACTATTCAAAGATATCTTGCAGGGCAGCCAGTGATATACCAGCTACTATCTAATCAGGCATCTATAGTGGCTGAGATTAGAACAAGCTAAAAAGCCTGACAAACAACACAAGCTATACATTTTGTTTAAGCAGAATAGGAAGTGGGCAGCAGATCTAAGTTGAGTCTCTAACACTAAATGAGTTACTGAGATGATCAATTTGGCTGCCTGATATTTAGCAGTTCAGTGTGATGAGTGAAACCTTAACAGATGTCTGGATGAAGGAGGTCTGAGGAACAACATTTTTAGATTGTGGTTAAATGGTAGCTGTTTTAAATGCAATAAGTTGCAGAATTTAAGCTGAATTACCATCGCTGTTTCTGTCTGAGCATGAACAGATCATTCTCCAAAGGAAAGTATAAGCCCCAGAGAGCAATTCACAAATTCCAGCGCCGTCTGATTCTTTCTTTTGGAAGAACGGGTTGGGTTCAGGTTCACTTTCTTTCTCACTGACCGGGTTCTCCATCTTGCAGGAGAAGGTTTTAACACCTGTGTTAGTCTTGGTGATTTTCATGTCCTTTCCCGACTCCTTCCAGTCTCCGTCTCCCTCCTTCCAGTTGTAGGTGACAGGTTCAGCCCCTCCAGTGTCTCCATCACAGAACTTGGCCCCCACCAACTTGATAGAGGCCTTCACCTCTAGGGTGTGAGCATCAAAAACCTTATGCCTCCAGCCAGCAGGTACCATAGGGCCAGTGGAGACGTCGCAGAGGAGTGTAGCTTTGGCCGCGTCAAACACCACATCTTCCATGAGCAGCTCCGTGGGGGCCGTCCTGTAGGCTTGCACCTCAAAGTCCGCCGTCTGATCCACCGCCATGGCTGCATAGTCGAGGCCCAAGTGGACGGAACCAGTGACTGCCCGGGAAAGGCAGTCGGCGACAAAATTGTCTTTGCCGGCCACATGCTGAATGTCAGTGGTATACTCAGAGATGGCGGAGAGCTGACGCTGCTGTCGACCAGACCATGGCTCTGCAGACTTAGCCATGTTAGTTTCTGTTTGAGCACTTAGACTCTTTACAAATACAGAACATTTACATTTACGTGAACTGCCGGCCCTCCAATAGGAACCGAAAATGATGGGGGCGAGGAAAAGACCCAGGAGCTCCCTGTCGAAGGCGCTGTATTTTCTCTCATTGTCCCGGAGCTTCCTGCTGAAAAAAGCCAGTGGCTGCCAGGCACCGCCCACCCACTGTTCACACACAGCCCCCACAGCATAATCAGAGGCGTCTGTAGTAAGAGCAACTGGGGCGGTCGGAGATGGGTGCGCCAGCAGAGCAGCGTCGGCCAGAGCAGCGTCGGCCAGAGCAGCGTCGGCCAGAGCAGCGTCGGCCAGCGCAGCTTCGAAGGCACCCGTCAGCTCTGAGGACCAATCCAGCACGTCCGCCAGCCTCCTCCCCCCGCAAGGCGTCATACAATGGTCGCATGAGTTGGGCTGCATGGGGGAGAAAACGGTTGTAGAAGTTCACCATGCCCAGGAACACCTGCAGGGACTTCACGTTGTGTGGGCGTAGGAAACTGGCGATCCACCTTGGCCGGAATGGGGACGGCCCCCTGTAGGGTAACGTGGTGGCCGAGCAAAGTGATGGACAACTGGCCAAACTCGCACTTGGCCGGGTCGATGATGAGACCATGCTCACTGAGCCGGCCGAACAACTGCCGGAGATGAGTCAGGTGGTCGTCTGCGGACGCACTGGCCACGAGGATGTCATCCAAGTACACAAACAGGAACGTCTGTGCGGCACCCTTGAGGCCGAAAGGCATCCGTAGGAATTTGAAAAGGCCAAAGGGTGTGATGACTGCTGTCTTGGGGACATCCTGCGGGTGGACTGGCACCTAATGGTAACCGCGCACCAGGTCCACCTTTGAGAAAATGGTGGTGCCGGCTAGGTGGGCGGAGAAGTCCTGTATGTGCGGCACAGGGTACCGGTCGGGAGTGGTGGCGTTGTTCAAGGACGCCAACCGCCATCAGCCTTGGTCACCAGGTGCAGGGGGGAAGCCCACGGGCTGTTGGAGCGGCGCACAATGCCGAGGTGTTCCATGGTGGCGAACTCCTCCCTGGCGATCGCAAGCTTGGCAGAGTCTAGGTGCCGAGCCCGTGCATATACTGGGGGGGCAACCATGGTGATGTAGTGCTCCACACCATGCTTAGCCACTTCCGATGAAAACGTGGGCATGGTGATGTCAGGGAACTCAGCAAGTAGGCGTTGATATGGGTCCATGGTGGCTAGCGTGTTCGACAGACAAAGCATCCCCATCCCTCCCAGCGTGCAGGGGTATGAAGCAAAAGAGCAGGCGTCGATCAGGCGGCGGTTTGTAACATCCACCAACAGACTGTAAGCGCAGAGAAAAACAGCCCCCAGGAGCGACGTAGACACGGTGGCCATGACGAAGTCCCAGCCTCCATCGGAGGGCCATGCCCGCCAGCCATAGTGTCCGCTGGCGTCGCCAGCAGGATGCTGCACTGAGCCCCAGAATCAACCAGCAGCCGCCGGCCGGACAAGGTGTCCGTGATGAACAACAGCTTACAGTCACAGCCAGCGCCCATAGCTGCTAATGAGCGCCGGCCCTGGCTTTTCCCTGGGCTCGAAAACTGCAAGGCTGGCGACACTGCTTGGCCTTGGTCCCGAACCTGGAATGGTAATAACACCACCCATTCTCGCGCTGTCAGCGGGCCGTCACAGCAGCTGCGGTGTCCGGATCGTCCTCTGTGGGTGGAAGTGGGGCAGACGTGCGCTGGGGGGGAAACAGTGCATGGACAAACTGTTGCTGGTTGGCGAGGAAAATTCTGTCTGCCTCCACTGCCAGTGCCCGGTAGTCTCTGGAGGAAGGGAGGGGGGAGCTGGCCAGTGCGGTGCGCACGGGGGCTGGAAGCTGCCGCAGGAATATGTGGGCGAAGAGGGATCCGCTGCACCCAGCACCGCTAGCATCCTCTCCATTAACTCAGACGGCTTGCCGTCGCCAAGGCCGCTCAGGGACAGCAGGCGATCTGCCTTCTCCAGCTCAGACTGCCACAGCAGCAGCATTTTCGCCACCGTCGTTGTGTGACATAATTCAGCCGTATCGAACTCACGTCGGGTCACCAATGTGGAGTGTCATTAGTGAGGAGACAAGAGACGGATGTGCGTCAAGTCAGCTTTACTCTCCACTTCAATAATACACTGAACAGCATACCAGATCAAAACACTAACCCGTCAACCCTGAACTCTCTGACCAACCTCTTAACCTTAAATGTACAGTCCCTTGGTGATTGTCTCTTTTTGTCTTACTTGTGGGTCACCACAAGTTCTTCGTAAGTGACCACAGGCTCACCTCCTTACTGCTCCTTTGATGATCTTCTCAGTAGTTTAAGTTTCCGTATCCGTGGAAGCGTCCGGTATGTGTTATTCTGTCACAAATGTAGAAGATATGGCAGGGGGCGGGGCCAGCCCACAATATCTCCAGCAAATCACAGCAGTAGTTTTTGAGTTCCATAAGGAGGGTGGGTTTAACTCTAAAAACTCTGAGGTGAAAACTGTTGATGTACTTCATAAACATACTGTGGTCTCTGTCTCACACACACCAAATACTGCAAACAACACATTCCCTTCACTTTGTGCAAATGAAAGCCAGGAGCCAGCGACAGAGGAAATCCAGCTGTTTCTATCATGTTGTCATCATGGTTGTCCAGACTCTACGTAATGTGTTGGTCTGGTCTGTACTCATAGGTTTAATTTATCAAGAAAGCTAGACCAGATGGATTTAAATTTCTGTTCTCAGTCAAAGCTCCACAGGAAGACTGATCCACATTTGAGTTTGTCTGAAGACTGACCTTCACCTGAGAGATGGTTGAAATGATGTGACACAGTCTGAAGTGGCTGGAGGACTGACGTGCTTTAATCTCTATCAGGAAGTGAAGGTGATCGTCCACTTCGAGCTGCGTTATCGTCACCTTTTCCACGTTGAAATGGACAGATCAGCTTCCTGACGGTCTCTCGTTTCAGATAACAGAAGAACAGTCACAAAGAGTGCCCCTAAAACTTTAGTTTAAGATTTCTTTGGAAGAACGGGTTGTCTTTAGGTTCACTTTCTTTCTCACTGACTGGATTCTTTATTTTGCAGGAGAAGTCTTGGTGATTTGACTCCTTCCAGTCTCCGGCTCCCTCCTTCCAGCTGTAGGTGACAGGTTCAGCCCCTCCAGTGTGACAGCGTGCACGCTTCTGAATCAGTGGTACATGTCAGTGGACGCAACAACACCTCAGGCTGTGAGGTACAACTTTGATCATTTTAAATGTAAATGTTCTGTATTTGTAAAGAGTCTAAGTGCTCAAACAGAAACTAACATTTGTATACTGGTGGAACAGCCACCGAAGGCTATTCAG